AAAAGCTTTTGCAAAGAAACAATACTCATGAATGAAACAATGGCAAGGATCTGACGAAACGAGAGGCTGAAAGTTTACAACAATTGTGATAATAAATTGAAGGAATATTTTACACGATATGAAAATGATACTTTGTCTGGAACTGAACTTGCAATTAAATGTGACAAATGTGTTTAATACTTTAAAATTATCTGTTTCATTGTAACTCGTAAATAAAATAATAAATGTAACTTATAAAGCCATCTATCAATTTCTTACATTATCTTAATGAATTATATTAATATTGTTTAGTATACAGTTGATAGAAAAAAAATGAATAGTTATAAAATGACTAGAATGCTGGAAAATAAACGGGACGAAACGAGAGGGGATGAAACAAGTATGGGACAAAATGAGACAGGACGAAATGAGAGTAATCCCTTTGAATACTCTGTTGAATGGTATATAATTTAAAAACTTTCGTAAAACATTGATAAGTTATAGTTAAAAATATTAAGGTATACATTTTCCGGAAGTTTATTTGGCACGAGAAAAGCTCTTATGACTGTACAAGAAAAGATGCAGAAGTACTTAACTTGCCAAAAATAAAAATACAGACAAGTTTCTCCACGGCCACTCTGCACAGACATTGATGAGAAAAGATTGCAGAATGCCGCAAGAGAGACATGGCGAACAAAATTCATAACCTACTACTTTTTATCATCACAAGAAAATCCTATAGACCTTGCAGGGTTTGTGTATTGAGATATCTTGTGTATTAGAAGTGATAACAGGAAGGAAAGAATTCCGCAGGCTGTGCAAAGTGAAGCATCTGCGAGATATATCGCATGAACGCATGTAAAAGTTCCTGCATGGTGTGCCTAGAGAAGAATCCTCCAGGATCCTGCAGAAAAGAAACTTGAAAACTGAGCGTGTTAAAGAATCCTGTTCAATTATACTCATCAACTTACAGGAAAATTTTAAGCGAGGTAACATGATGTAAAAACCTGCAGTATATATCAAACATTCACAGGATTTTTTCAGATTCCTGCGTGTCAACGCAAGAATTCGTAAATTTTTTTCAGTGGGTAGTCTACTGGATAAAAGGTGACTGCTAAACTAAAGAATAGTGGATATCTCTGTAATGGTAAAGGGTCATAAAAAAACGAAAAACGAAAATAACTTCTCTTTAATTTCTTGTTTGAATTTAAAACTTTCTTCCAATGAATTAATTTGCTAAAAACTTCGTACTCAGTGCTCTGTCCATATACTATTTGTTCTGTTAACATATGGAAGGAAAACAAGAAAATCATCAGAAGCACAGTATAACATAAAAACACTCGTATCGATAGTAAAAGTTTATTCAATTGAGCTTTTCTTATCATTATTAAGTAATAAAGAAAAAGATAATTATCATTATTAGCCTTAAAAAAACTTCATGCCATAACATTATACAGGCCCTATAACGGCAACATTCAAAAAAGATCGGGTTAAACGAGTTCAAAGTAAATACAAACGTCGTGAGATATTAATTAACACAGTAAGTTTTGTTTAATTTTATGTGACAGAAATTGATGATGGGAAGCACAAGCAAAAAAGAATCTGATGCAGCTTTTTACGCTCTTTTCGGCGGTATGGTCAAATCTTTCCGCGAACACCATCGTTTTTCGCTAACGACTTTTCCTTAAAAAAATCGAATTTATATCCCGATTGGGATATATGTTTTGTGGTAAAACACCATGTCTGATTTGAAAATTAGAAGAAACCAACAAACCGAATAAACGGTTTTGTACAGAATTTTATGGCGCATCTTTTAGTCTTTTTATTTTTATGCGCTCTATGAAAAACAGCGCCACATCATTTCACACATCCAGATCAGTTGTATTTGGTACGTTGTAGCTGAACAAGAACTACTAGTAAATATTTCTGATCATCGTTTTGCAGAGTGGACGATACTGCATCGAAAGAGCCCTGGAACAGGACTGAAGCTCAAAAATGTCGGTAGCTTTATCTTTATCAAGAAAAGACCTGATTGGACCTGCGTCCTGTCTCTGGTATGAAGGGAGAATGTTATCACTTGAGCTAGACATTCTGGATACCTGGTTTTACCCAGATAATAATGGTGCAGTATTAGTGCAACGTATAGTAACTTTCACTTAGAAAACGGAAACTACTTACGTTCAAACGTTCACAACATTGACGCGTGTAAGAAATTGACACTCATCGACGTCAACTGCTCAGAAACGTTGCCACTGATCAATTTTAACGCTTGTGGGCTTTTAGAACGTGAACTAAGTACCGTATTGAAAATATCTATGTAAATAATGCTGATAATATATATTTATAATTTAATTTGTTTATTCTTCAATACAGTTTTCGCACCAAAAGTAATATACATCTATTTTTAGGAAGAGACGTATGAATTTTCTAGCAGAACCGTAAACACAAAAAAAGTATTTTTAAATTTTTTCAGTTTGTGTATGTGTTATAGACCTAGCACACGTCAGACGCATAGCCATCACATTCATCCCCTTTGTCGTCCTTTTTTCTCGATATTTCTCTGTACATACAGAAATACTTGACACATATTCTCCATATCATCTCTCTCATTATCGGAATATTTTTCTTTTTCAGAAAATGATAACTGTTGTATTACTATCTCTCTCTCTCGCGTTTACTATCTGTATAGCAGTTTTTCAAATCGTATCGTACATAAACTGACCAAACCGTCGTCCTTGGGACATACACATCTAAATGTTTATGTTGATTGATATCGAGGAAAAGTGATAGTGCATCTAAGACTGGACCGACTAATATTGCTACACACTGTTTAGAATGTAATAGTAGTTGCCAAAATTTAGATCATGAATTAATTTTTAATGAAATCAGCATTGATAATGTCAGTTGCAGTAACAATATCATCACTGTTATGATAAAGAGAAGTGTCATCGGCATACAGCCGAAGCAGAGAATGATTTATTATCAATTTGTCTTCTGCTGATTAGAAAGAAGCATTGTTTCAAGAAGAAAAACGAGATGTACGCAAGTGTATATCGAATGATTTATATACTTTACTATACGAAAAACACTTGTCTGGGAATATTCTAGGCTTGTATGACGCGTAGAATATATCGTTAAAGCTCAGCATCAAAACAGATCGAAGTTAAAAATTTTCTGTTATTCTTGGACATGTAGATACGCGTTTTCAAATGTATATACTGTAGCGAAACTTAAAATTCAGTCAAATTTAAAATCTGCCTAGACAGAATTAAAATTTTAAGTTTGTCTACAACATATACATTTGAAAGCGTATATCTAACGGGAGACGCATAATAAACGATTCAAATTTTTTTCTTATTTTTGGAACACTTTCAAGTGACCTAAGGATCTGGTTTTAGTCTCATTCAATAGAGAATTGAATTCTCTACAAAATCTGCTATTTGAATCTCTGATAGCACTTTTCTCGTTTGAGTACCATTCAAAATATTGAATAGTGCTAAGTTCTCGTACTGCGACGTGCTTTTGTCGTATCTTTTCTTTGGGATTTTTAGCCTGTTGTCTGTAGTTCAATAGTCACTTTTTCTGAGTAGAAAGATAGAGAATTTTGTGCTCTATCAACTTCACTTATTTACAGCTTCATACAATGTTTTCACTACGTCAGCTGGACTCGTAACTAGTTCTCAACTGGCTTTTCAAAATTTTCAAATTAAATTAATTTTTTTAATTAATGATTTTAATTGAGAAACTTCGTTTATACATCAAAAGATGCTGAATTTAATTCTGTGTAATATAACAAGGCTAAAGTCCGGGATTCTGAACATTGTACTGCTTTTACAGGCAAAAAACTAAAGTCTGTGAAAAAAAGGTTCAAAAGTTAGGTTTTTTTAGAATTACCGTTTTTTGCAAAGAGAAATTTTCCTAGAAGACTTAGCTGCAAAATTTCGAAAAATATGTGAGAAGATGCAGAATTTTCCAATGAATCTTCTAATGTTTTCAACATTCTTATAAAATCTGTTTTTGGATCAAGGCAAATATTTTTCTATTTTCAGTGTGTTGCAGTTTAAGAACTTGGCACTATTCAATATTTTGAATGGTGCTCAAACGAGAAAAGTACTATCAGAGATTCAAATAGCAAATTTTGTAAAGAATTCAATTCTCTATTGAATGAGACTAAAACCAGATTTTTAGAAAAAGACATGTAGTATCATGAATCTATTATTTTAAGTACTTATACTCTATCTCGTTTTGTAAACTGTCCTGTTTCAGAAGCAAAACCTTGAAACGGGTTATCTCTAATTCGTTAATCACAGATGAATAAGACAAATTGTGTAGACTGTATAGAGTTATGAGTATAAAAACAGATGTAAGAATAGTTCCACTTACAACTAAATTTTATGTTCTAAAAAACATTGCTAATAAGGTTCAAAATGAATTAAACCTTCACTTATATATTATTGATATTCACTACGTATCCATCATTATTCATCGTCCGTTATTCATTTCTAGTTTCAAGAACAATAGATCGTAAGTAGGATTTATTTTTAGGCAACTTTAAGAATAATTATAAAGTAATCATTGATATTTCGGATCTACCGGGATCAAGCAATAGGTTAAAAGAACTTTAGATGTAATTCACGATCGAGCAAAATTATTCCTCACTAATGACAGCAAGAACATAATCGATAGCATTTTGAAAAAGAAATGTGGTACTGCAATATCTTTTGCAGTAAGTACAAAGCCCAAAAAACTTTGACAGTGTATATTGAACTAAAAGATGTTACAGTTTTTACAAGTCTTTCCAACACTAACAATATCGCGAATGCATCGCTTCCTGTTGCTACACAACTTTTTAACGAATACTATTTTTTATCTTACACTGATCAATATTTCAACAGCTGTTATTAATTCTAAACTAGAAATCGTTCCATTCGCATATGAAAATAATGGTTTAATTGTAAAGGCCAACTATCAACATTTTAGCTCTTAGCTAGAACGCCTTATTCGCCGACCACAGTGCATTAGCCAGTGTATAAAATGTTTCGGGTTTGATATCAATCACTGCACTTAAACCCAAACTTATACTACACCCCTTTCGCTGTATTACACCTTCCGCACTTCTCTTAGTGTACAGAAAACCTACATGAAAAACAAAAAACATCAATCCTCTCGTAGATTGGTTAAATCTTTTCTTTGCTTCTCTTCTGCTTTCTTTCCCCTTCTTCGATTTACCATTGATTGTCTAAACACCTTCACCCTCATCCTCATGGCGTTAAAGTCAAAAAATTTATTTTGAAAAGGTGAAAAATGCGTTCAAAATCAAATAAGAAGAAAATATTAAAACCAAAGCAAGACTAATTTCTCCATCAGACTAATGATGTCATTTAGCCTTTATGAGAAATCAAAACTTTATTTACGATGTCCGTGCAATTTCAGCGTATGCTTCTACTAACTCACTTGAATCTGCTAGATTAAAAAAAGTTCCATCCATTTTTTCGTTTATACGCTTTAATATAGACATACTTGATTGTCCTAATGCCAATGTCCAAAATTTCTTGATGACATTACCATGTAATTCGACCAAAGTTTGAAGTTCTGCTTCAGGAAATGGTGCCAAGCCGTCACTCATAAAAATAATGGCATATTTTGAAGCAG